CCAAGGCAATCAACTAAACGTAACTATACCGACGGTGCCTGTGACATGTACAGTATTCCTCGTCAAGAAGCTTTCGTAGACTTATATACTCCCCTCTTCGGATTCGCATGCACCTTCATATGCTTGCCCCTGTTGGTTGAACTGACAAAACTCTTCTCACACCCCTGGTACGCACACTTGTATGGTTTCTCTCCCGTATGAATTCGATTATGAATCGTCAAATCCTTCGAATTTTTGAACTTTGCAGTGCAACTGGGAAACATGCACTTATACGGCTTCTCGGTCATGTGGACACGCTTGTGTACTTTGAGATCACTCGATTGTATGAAGGATTTACCGCAGCCTGCATAGGTGCAATTGTAGGGCTTTTCCCCTGTGTGTATGCGTTTGTGCTTAATCAACGCAGTCGGATCGGCGAAGGCTACACCGCAGTCCGCATAGTCGCACTTGTAAGCACGTTCGCCCGTGTGAGTGCGTTTGTGAATAACAAGAGCCGAACGTCGATTGAAAGCTCTAGTACAGTCAGGGTAGTCACAGATAAAGATTCGTTCATCGGCGTGGGAGAGCGCGTGTTCCCTGAGCCAGGATTTCTTAGTAAACTGCAAGTAGCATCCAGGGTGTTCACATATAAAAAGCTTCTCCCCAGAATGCGAGCATAGATGTAAGCTCAACGCGCTCAGCGATGGAAACGTACGATTGCAACCAAGCCAAAGGCATGCATACGTTGCGTCGTGAATGGTGTTTTTCTTCTGCACAGCTGAAGTGTCATCCTCGATTGCTGCATCGCTACATCTGTGAGAATATGAAGAAGAAAGGTGCGAGACTATCAACAACATACTACTGGTGAATATAAATATAGCGTATGTGTGTGTGTGTGTGTGTGAAAGTGAAAAAAATGCAACAATGTAAGATATGCCGAAAGACATACACATATAAATATACAAACATATGTACATACATATACATATACATAGTATATCTTATCTTACATTATTGAATTTCTTTCACTTATATATATATATATATAAGTATATGAAGTTTGTTTTATCTGTGAATAACCAGCATCGTGTTGTACTGGAGTTGACTGGTGAATACCAACATGCTGCTGTACTGGAATTGACTGGTATATATTTTTATGTATATATATATATTAAAAGTGTTTTGTCTGTGAATAACCAGCATCATGTTGTACTGGAATCGAATAGTGGATACCAACATGATGCTGTACTGCAACTGACTGGTATTTATATATATATATATATTTATATATATGTGTGTGTGTGTAAGAAAAAAAAAAGAAATAAAGCGACAAATAAAAATTGGAATACCCACATAGCCCACTAAATAGTATTCATATATTAAAATATAGTTATCTGTACTTTTTCACTTTGATATAATTGTTTGTATATTCGAGCATATGTATGCTTATTTATCTATAGATATACATACATACATAATATATAATACTTGTACTTATACTTATACAAAAAAATACATATATA